ATGCCATGAATGGCGCACATTGATATGTCAATTATAGAAAGAAATCTAGTTTATTACGTATTTGAAGGTCTACTAAATACTTAACTTCTTTATTGTAAACTAAACGTTAAGATTAAAATACACAAAGAAACAATAACAATTCCTATCAGGTCTAATATGACCAATGAGCTTAAGGAAGAAATTGCTATTACTAACCAGTACTATAGTCAAGCTGATTTAAAGCCCTTGAGCTCAGTCCAGTTTACATTTAGGACAGTCATTGAATGCTACATATCTGTAAATGAGATGTCGGTGTAGTTCAAAATTTCTCTAATCTAGGTTTCCGGTCATAGGGATATTTTTGTCAATTGCAAAGCCAGATGGGGTGCTTCAGGGCACCACTCGGAACATCTAAACAACCTGGCCATATTGTTAACATCATGCAAATTGGTATTGAGTTCTTCCTGTGCCGAAGTTTTCAACAAAAGATGGAAAGACTCAAAGATATGCAGGCATCTATATGCCCGTAGAGATATCAGTTTTGTAGTAGGTTTATTTACAGGTCATTGTATTTTAGGTAACCATGCTAGAAGACGAAATCTCCCTTTCCATTATACCTGCTGCAGTTATGGAAATGACGTTGAAATTGCCTCCCATTTGCTTTGTTTCTGTCCAGCACATAAATAGTATTATAAACCTTGCCAAAGATTCATTGGTGTTGATTCGCCAAGTCTCGCAACCATAGAGCATAACCGATTTGACACATGATAGATAGATTTTCAGTTTTGTTGAATTTGAGATTTGATTTGATGACCACACTTATTTTAATCGACCGAAAGCTTTCTTACTTTGCTAACTTGACCTCTTAATTCTCTGTAGATACGCCACTTACATTCGTGGTGTAGCCTAGATAATTTTAGGAGTTAACATTCTCGATTGTGCTGTTATGTAAAGGTTTTTATTTTTACGTTAGTTTGTTTTTAGGTCTATCTTTACTGCAAGTGAGTGAATCTCGTTTAGTTTGTTCTGCAAGTCGTTAAATGAGCTGCTCGGAAGTATTCTAACCCCTTTCCCGCAGGGGTGTTTAGCTCATTAAGACTGCTCTTTCACAAAGAGCTTCTATATAAATGGGTGCATTATATTAAATCAACTGAGTAAAGGCGAAAAATGTCGAATGAACCCTTTAAAATAAAGAGTCTCTCATCAGGGAAATCAACAAAATTTTTAGTATTTGTCATATGTTTTATATGTGATATAAAAAAAAAAAAGTTATTGCACATGCATAAATAAGCTTAGGCCAATGGAAACGACTAAATCTAAAATTCATTAACATAAATAGTTTCAGTTGCAGTGGAAACATGATATAAGAAATTAGTCAGATCGATTCATTTAAGTTTAGAGACTTTCAAAATGAACCAAAAGGTATAACCACATATTTCACTAGATCGAACAACAAAAAAAAATTTTTTCTGGCATAATTAAAAAAAAAAAAATAAATAATAATTAACACAAAAATATATTTAAGTATTTGTTTAATTTGTTTTACAAAAACATATTACCTACCAACTATTTTAAGCTGGTGGACTCCAAATGGCTTAACTGTAACAAGTTTTGTTCTGAAATATCATTTGAGATACAAAAACAAAAATTTAATATTTGACCACAAAATAATTCCCACAAGCATTTAACAGTTTGCATACGGACAGATACATTTCTCTAGCTTTGTTTATATTTTGAAGATGTTTGTTGTGTATGTCGTTTGACGTGAAGCTACAATAACTCAACAAGTTACTATTTATCATTGTAGACATTAATTTCTCAAAAGCATCAAACTAATTAATTTGGCTTAAATTACCTCTATTAACAATGCCCGATGCTCGCTGCTCACCGAACGCCGAACGCCGATCGCCGATCACCGATCACCGATCTAATGGAAGTGGATTGTCCTTTAGGGCATTTCTGTTACATGTCTCCCAAAGCTGCCATAATTAATTTCTCGGATTTATTAATTTTACTGGTACTAAACATATTGTATTTATGGGAAAATTATAGCTTTGCCTAATAAACTAATAATGGAGTAGTTATGTATTTATGTATTTAAGTAGTTATGTATTTATGTATTTAAGTATTTACGTGTTTATATAATTTATATAATTTGTAAAATGTGTGCTACTGGTTGTAAAACGATCGGAGCTCAAATTTGTTGAAAATGCTTATTAGTTAATGTTTAAGAAAAAAATATCTAATAATATTTAATACTAAATAAATAAATGTTAAACCACCTATTGCTTAATCCTCTGGTGGAATCGATGTTTGTTTCGATTTGATTGACGTCGTACACAGAAACATAACGTCTGTCTGTTATGCATAATTAGTAAACCAAATAAATCTGCTGCGGCGCGCTGTTCAAATATTTGTTAAGCACATCAGAAATTGCTAATTTTTTATTTAATATTAGTTTTTTCTTAAAATATTTTATAATAATTTTATGTGGTTTTATTTCTATTTTTTTTTTTTATTGCAAATTTAATGTATTTTTTATGTGTCGTTATCTTGGTTAATTGTAAATTGACTGCAATAATTTGCGGTTCAATTATGCAATTTAACGCATACGACGGCTTCGTTATTGGCACATTACGATTTTTATGTGTTTTTAAAGAGCACTAAAAAAATTATCTTCAAAGCCAACTATAGAGCCATAAAAAATTTACTTTAAACAATTAAAAAGTAAACATTAATTACACAAATACAGATATTGTAGTCTCTGAATATAAGCGGACTAGTCCAATTAAATCTGCACTCAGCAAGAAAAAAGTTAGTAAGGTTGGAAGGTCAAGTGAAAGGAGGGCGATACTTCTCAATTAGTTAAAAAATTCTTTTGATTCCATGTTGTTCATAATTTTGGGTAAGAGGGTGGGTGTATTGTATCCTGTGCTTTTTAGCTGCATAAGAACTTAAAATGAAAATACAAGATAGAAATTTTTTTTACTATAATCTGGTAGATAATTTCATGAGAGCCAAGGCTAATGATGCATCTCTCAAAGCCTCTCATGAGTTAATATGAACCTCTGCCTTCCTGTGCCGGATCCTGTTTCAACATTAGAGGCGCTGGCGACCGAGTACTCAGCGCTATATCTGAGATCCATCTGCTGTCTTACAGAAATGTCAGTACCAACCACTAGCGTCAGCCGCAGGATCGAAAGCCTCATGACTAAATAAATTGAATGTAAATAGCAGCCCTATCACCGATGTTTACAGCTCGGACCAATCATCTGTGCCTGCTGTAACTGTAATTTTATTAGAGTTTCTACAAAAAGTAAAAATAGTTCCATGACATTTATTTTTTAAATATGATTTCATTGCATTGTAGCTACGAGTTACATGGTTCATTAATACAATTTTTAACTATATTTTCCAATAAATGTGGTCAATGGTAGCATAAATATTAGCTTCCAAAGCTTCAAAAGTTTGCTGATTTGAGGTATTGGCATAAACCAATGACTTAACATATCTCCTTAAAAAGTATTCAAAACGCGTTAAGTCGCGTGAATAAGGTGTCGAGTTTATACAACCACTTCTGGAAATACCAAAAAGTGGTTACCAAATTGTCAAATGTTTTCCTGGAACCAAATGCCAAATGTTGTCGATGTTTAACTGATTAATTTTTGGAAATTGCTGACAAAAAATCTGTCAGCATGACTAGATAGCGCTCTGCATTCATCGTAACGGCAACTCCTTCCTCATTTCAGAAGAAATAAGGACCGATGATGCAAGACAATTTCTTTATCTTGTTGATGATTTATTTGGTCACTAAACTGATTACGTTGACCGTAAAATGGACGAAGTACTCTATGAACTTCGAGAACAGATTTATTTTTTTGAAAGTAAAACAATTATTTTTTTAAATTAAACAGAGGACTTCCGTTTGGGGACACCCTAAATGTAAGCATTTTATGCGAACATTATACACGGAATTCAGATTAAAGTTCCCATTGATTCGCTACTTAAAACATTCAAATATCGTCTATACTCGAGGACTAATTTGCAAGAAAAAATTGCCAATATCTTCGACGAAGATTCAATATCCTTCATAGAGGTAACTAATTCGCACCATTAAATTAATTTTATTGATTTATTAAATTATTTTTCAACAATATTTACGAATTTTGAATTTTTTTTTTAAATTTGGACATTGAGTTTCTAACTAATAAGCATTTTACTGTCTAAAGAAATCTTATTTTTCAAAAGATCTAAACAAATTGAAATTCTGTTGCAACATGAGTATAAACTCTATACCCCATAAGAGTCCAAAAAACGGTTTTTATGTACCACTAATTCATCAAGTAGTTTTTATATATTGTACATAATATTGAACATAATATTGACCCTTGCTAGGTAGTCACCTTGTCGTGGTGTAGGGGCTTATTGTGGACTGAAGCATGTCATATGGAAGTCATGACATGATGATTTTTCATGTGACATGATTCAGCACACAAACTAAGAACTGCCGCCAACGCACAGGTTGAAAGTAGGTATCTACGATTCCTGATCAGTCGTTGAGGCTAGCTAGTGGACTTTAATGGACACTTGCTAATTGGTCAGTCCTATAGGAAAGTGCGGCTATCTATCAGACCAATGACTCGCCTTCAGTACGGTCATGTCTCTGCTGTTTGTGGGTCGCCGATAGTCGGGCGGGGGAGAAGGAAAACTCCCTAGGGCAGGGTCTGTACATATTCTAGGCTCCCAAGGCTAGGTCTTGATAGACTGGAATATGAACATACCTATTGCCCCAAACAAACCCCCTAAACTCACAGTGGAACAGCTATGCTGGTGAACTTGCTTGACAGGGTAGAGTCAAGCTTAATAGCGAACTCCGTACCAGGTCTGGCAAACCTACGGTTTCAATTTGTCCTTCCCATGGGGGCGCTCATGGGTGACCAACCTGCACGGTTTATTTAAACTTACTTTGTATGGAACAAAATAACATTTTCAATTCTATGGACTGCACACCTTTAAATGTGCAAAATATGGTTTTACAAAGCCAAAACTTATCACTGAACGAGGGGGCACCTGGTACCATCGTCAGTGAACAAATGGACCACGACTTGTTGGAGAGGGCACCTGGTCCTCTACCCGACAAGCCGGAGGAAATGGACATTCCACTTAGCCAAGAGTCGGCTGGGATGTCTATCTCCTCGGAACAGGAGAGAGATCTTCTGGAGCCTGGTCTAACTAAAAAGACTCAAACGAGGGTGAAGCTATCCGGCGCTGGACGCAAAAGGTTGAAGGCTTTACTTGCCAAGGGCATCCCGCTGGAAACAGCAAGGTCCTTGGCAGTAAAGCCGGCCACTGCGACTAACGAAGGGCAGGCAACACCAAAAAGATCCCGATCGGACAGCTCTACACCAACATCAAGCTCAAAACCGACAAAGCGGATTGCACTACAGGGCAAGAAAGTTGATAATAAATCAACAGTGCCTGCAACTGCTTTGCCGATTTTCAGTAGGATGAAGGAAGTAGAGACCTCACACGGGGGCAAACCTGGTCCCAGTAAAGAGGTGGCGACGGTATCTGTGGGGCAGGCTGAACACAGTACTTCTTCCGAAGACCATTGTTCAAAGCCTACCCTAGCAGAGACTGTTCGCTCTAAGAAGATCGGTATACTACCGCACAATTTCCCAGAGGGCATTTGGTCCAATGAGGAAATTGGCAAGGTGCAGAAATGCATCCTCGACAAGATGTACGAAACTTGTCGAGCTCCTGGGGTGAAGCCTCATTTCGCCGGTTACAGTCTAAAGCCCGGATGGTTTACCATTAACTGTCTGGACGACGAGACTGTAACTTGGTCTAAAGAGACAATCCCAGCCTTGAAGCCGTGGGAAGGAGCCCAGCTGAAGGTAGTGGACGAGGCAGAAGTGCCAAAGTCTGAAATCTATGTTGGCTACTTCCCAGGCTCAGCTTCCTGGCAAAGCGACCGTATTCTGGGACAAATTGAGTGCCAAAATTCGGGCATGCGTGTCAGGGACTGGCGGGTACTCCACAGGCTCAATAAGGGCGACATCGTCGAGATGGCGATTGCTCTGGATCCTATGTCGTCCGAAATGGTCGGAAAGCTGGGCAATAAAGTCTTCTATGGACTTAGCAGTGCCGTGCTGAGACCAAGACATAAAGGAAACAGAGCAAAGGAAGTGGTTGAAGATGAGCGACCAACAACATCTGCGGCTTGTGCTCAGTCAAGCAACCAGAAGCCGAAAACGGGTCTCAATTCCGGGGGACCACCCTTGAGAGGGGGCAGAATCCGTGCCCAGGGCCGAAAACCTTCCGCTCTCTCTGGTCGTCTGAGGAAATGGGAAAGAAAAGACCCGGAGGCCGCGGAATTGCTGCGCGGTACGAAGGGCGGCAAGGTCCGCAAGGGCCAGTCTGGGATATAATGTCCCGGACTCCGCCACATCCGCAAAACTCTTGGAGGCAACTTCATTGCCTCCAAATCAACCTCCACCGGGCTATAGCAGCTTCATACAGGCTCAGTGCCCTGGTGGAACAACACTGTCTGGATTTTGTGGCCATCCAAGAACCATGGGCCACAAAGGGGCGCATAAACGGTCTACAGACAAAAACGTGTAAGTTAATCTATGATAATAATGTTGATCGTCCTAGAACGGCGATAATGATTAACAAAACCATTAAATCTCTTCCAATTACAGAGCTCATACAGCGTGATCTGGTGGCGGTACAGGCAGAAGTGCCTAGTACTAGGGGGACGAGAATAATAGTTTTTGCATCTCTGTACCTCCCTGGCGACGCAGAGGAAGCGGTGTCTCTCGAGCTCCAGCAGCTTACAGAATACTGCCGTATCCGAAACCTACAGTGGGTAATGTGCTGCGACGCCAACGCACACCATACAGTATGGGGAAGCACAGACATCAATACACGAGGTGAGTCACTTTTTGATTATATCACAACTAACAATTTAATGGTAGTTAATAAAGGTAACGAACCCACTTTTGTAAATGCGATAAGGGAAGAGGTAATAGATCTCACTTTAGCCAGCGCATTTATATCAAATAACATTTCAAATTGGAGGGTGTTGGAGGAGAACTCCTTATCAGATCACAGATATATACGCTTTGATTTGGAAGGGGAAGTTGAAGACACTTTCGAAATAAGAAATGTTAGGAAGACCAATTGGTCTCTATATAACTTCTATTTAGAACAAAACATTAGTTGTCTTGGGAATAGGATTACTAATTGTCAGGAACTAAATCTTGAGGTTAACAAACTAGAAAATACTATTACAGGGGCTTTTGAAAATAGCTGCGAACTTATCAAAAAGAAACGTTCTAGGAACGTCCCATGGTGGAATAGGGAACTAGATATTTTACGCAAAAAAGCCCGCCAGCTCCTTAATAGAGCCAAGTCCAATGGGGACTGGGCATCTTACAAGTGTGCCTTAACGGCTTACAATAAGGAATTGAGGAAATCAAAGAGGGAATCATGGAGGAGGCACTGCGAGGAGATTGAAACACTTCCTGCGGCTGCGAGACTCCAGAAATCTCTAAATAAAGACCACTCAAATAGCCTCTCTACATTAAAGAAGGCTGACGGAAGCTTTACGGTAAGTCTGGAAGAAACGGGACAGCTTTTGCTGGACACTCATTTTCCAGGCTGCGCCATGTATACTGAGACTACGGAAACCATCGAGGATACTCGTTTCTTATTGGTTACACGAAGAGATCTTTCACTGGCCCGTAAAATCTTTACAGTCAATAAAACTAAATGGGCCATTTCCACTTTCAGCCCGTTTAAATCACCTGGTATCGATAATATACAACCGTGCCTTCTTCAGAAAGGCGTTGATATATTAGCACCGATATTAACAAACTTATTTAGGATAAGTCTAGAATTAGGCGTAATACCTAAACATTGGACGAAGGCTAGGGTAGCTTTCATACCGAAAGCAGGCAAAAAGGCGGACCACACGCCAAAAGCTTTTCGGCCCATTAGCCTTACTTCTTTCCTGCTTAAAGCAATGGAGAAGATTCTAGATCAATACATCAGGGAAGTCTATATTAAAGCTTCACCTCTACATATTGAACAGTATGCTTATCAGTCGGGCAAATCGACCGACACCGCTATACATAGTCTGACGAGTAAAATCGAGAAGGCTTTAGACGGTAAAGAAATAGCTCTCTGCACATCGGTTGACATTACAGGAGCTTTTGATAATGCAACATTCAGATCAATTGAGGCAGGAATGGTCAGGAAAGGAATACACAGACTGATCATAACATGGATTCTCAATATGCTGAAAAATAGGACGATAATCTTTGAAATGGGGACGAAGAGATTAACTGTCAAGTCAACCAAAGGATGTCCTCAAGGAGGCGTTCTTTCGCCACTCCTATGGCTATTGGTCATTGACGAACTCCTACAGTCTCTTAGTGACCTCGGATATGAAGTTCAGGGCTTTGCAGATGATCTAGTCATCATGGTTAGAGGCAAATTTGACTCCACCATATCCGATCGTATGCAACTAGCTCTTGATATCACTCAAAATTGGTGTCAAGAGAAAGGACTCTCGATTAATCCGAATAAAACAAATGTAGTACCCTTCACCAGAAGAAGGAAGATGAGTCTAGGGACCTTAAAGTTAGGGGACACTGGCTTAATACTATCTGAGGAAATGAAATATCTAGGAGTAATTCTAGATAAAACTCTTACTTGGAAAAACCATTTATCATATATAACTGGCAAAGCTCTAAGAGCAACTTATGCGTGCCAAAGACTGTATGGTAAAACATGGGGTCTGCGACCAAAAATGATGGCTTGGTCGTACAAGACCGTAATAGTACCGATGATCACCTATGCTTCTTTGGCATGGTGGCCAAAGGTAAATCAGACGAAGGCTAAGATGACTCTCAATAAGATTCATCGAACAGCCTGTCTAAGCGTAACGGGAGCAATGAGAACGTGCCCCACAGAAGCCCTAGCAATGCTCACTGGACTCACCCCATTACACATTACAGTTAAAAGGACTGCGACCAGCGCTGCACTAAGGCTTCCTTATCTAGGTAATCTTAAAGAGGGCAATTTGACAGGACACGCAAAGATTCTAGATGAAATCTGGAATTCTCCGTGCCTTAAGGTCTTCGACAAGATGAATAGAAAATTAGCTTTCTCCAGGGAATTCGAAGTGGTCATTAGTGACCGATCAACTTGGAGAAATAATAAAATAAACTTAAAGCAGGGCTCTCAATTATGGTATACTGATGGGTCCAAAATGGATAATGGCAGTGCAGGAGCAGGAGTTATGGGACCAAACTTCCGTAAAGCAATCGCAATGGGAAAAACTGCTTCCATTTTTCAGGCAGAGGTCCATGCCTTAGAGCTTTGTGTAAGAGAATGCATACGTAGGGGCACCCGAGGTACCAACATATGCATTCTATCAGACAGCCAAGCAGCTCTAAAATCTTTAGCAAAATCCTTATTCCAATCAAAGCTGGTTTGGGAATGCTTTCAACTTCTCAACACCCTAGCATCGAGGAACTATGTTACTCTTATGTGGGTACCGGGACACGAGGGGCATGAGGGCAATGAAATAGCAGACATATTAGCAAAGAAGGGTGCATGTACTCCTTTCATTGGGCCAGAGCCCTTCTGCGGGGTAACAAATAGCTTCACGAACAACTTATTATGTGAACGGGAGAAACAGCATCTACTTGAACACTGGAGAGCTCAAAAAGGCATGCGACAGTCAAAAAGATTCATTGATCCTGAACACATCAAAGTTGATGCTATCATCAACCTTAGCAGAAATGATATCAAAATCTACACTGAACTTCTTACAGGGCACTGTAGACTTAATTACCACATGAAGATTATAGGTGCGGTAGAAAGTGATTCCTGTCGACTCTGTCATGAGGAGAAGGAAACATCGGAACATGTTCTATGCAACTGCCCAGCGGTGGCAAGACGTAGACTCGATTACCTTGGTAGCGGGATCCTGGTCCCAAATCAAATAGGTAAAATTAAGCCCACTGCAATTATAAGATTTATAAATAGTCTAAAATTGTCCTAGTTGGGCCTATAGGCGCACAATAGATCTTTTAGGTCGGGGTGCACAAATAGCCTATTTTTAAATAATAATAATATATTTGGACTAATTAATACATTATTACCAATATTAGCTACCACGATAACTTGATAGAATTTTTTTTTTGCAAATATTATTGACTGCCTAAATGTACGTTAAAATCTCCAGATAATAATTAATTTTCAGGGAACTAAACTAGTCTTCAACAACAGGACTTATGCAGTCTGCGTACTGAGTCATGATGGGTGTTATAATTTTTTCAGAAACTTAATGTTCTGAAGATATCCAGATAGTATTGTTATTGGTAAACTGTTTAATTTTATTATTAGTATTGTTCGATTACAAGTTTCAGACTGCTTATAAGGTCACTTCAAGTTTGGTTTCAGCAAACGTATCTTATCTCTCTATCAATCTCTCATTAAAGAGTTCAAAGAGGCGATTTGAAAAATTTTAGAATCCATAGCATAAAAAGAGAATTAAAAGAGTAGTATCATTTGAACCCGGCAAAATTGCGCAACGTTAATGGAACGGAGGATTTGCTCAAGTTTTTTATTCTTATATATATCCAATTATCTAATTATAATAGCCTCAATAAATTATTTTTAATTGCAAGTCTCAACTGTTTATAGACCCTAGAATATGGCTATTTGAAAATAAGTCTAAAATGTAACTTCTCAAAACTTATGGCGCCAAGATTGCTTGAAAATCGAACACAACAATTGCTAAACAAAACACAAAAAAATAGATTTTTTAACAATTCATATTATTAAAATATTTAAAATTGTTTAATTATTTCGCAAACATATTTCTTTTAAATGATACAAAATGGTCCTAAATCCATATACTATAAACCTTATTCACATCACTATTAAGCTAGAAGATTGAATCTTCCTTTCAATTATACTATACCCATCGTAGTTGTGGTGAGGACGATAAAAATGTCTCTTATCTACTTTATTCCTTCCCGGTACTTGTGCGGATGCGCTCTATTACACCGCATCTACTTCAAGCATCTTTCTTACCTTCAGCACCTTCCTTTAAATAGCATTTCAAGCCTAACCAAAAGTTCAATGTGGTGTTTTAACTTCTAAGTTTTTCCCCATAAGCGGTAATACAATGGATCAATAGGCTTAAGGAGATCCCTTTTGATCGCCGGTACAACCTAACTTAACCTACTATGTTGAGTTTAATTTAGTTCAGTTTACAAGCTAAGAAAAATTCGTAATATCCAGATAAGTTTAAAATAGAATTAAGCGGTTTAAAATTGGATAGCCCTTTTTTTTGATGATATTATTCAGTACCATCTTCCTGAACAATTTACAACTTATTTAAAGGCGTTTCAATTTTTAGCAATTACGAAAATAGAAACATTTGGGAAAGAAAATAACAGTTTTATTCAAAATTTAGAAGGAATAAAATCCCCTGGACTAGATGAAATTAATAAAAATATATAAAAAATCAAAGATATTGTTAATGCAGGACTTTCCTTAGGTATCTTCCTGCAAATCTAGAAATTTGCAGTTATAATATTTTTTTCTTAACCTGAATAACACAAACATATTTCTTTTAAATGGTCCAAAATGGTCCTAAATCCATATACTAATTACTAAACTAATAACAAATTGTTTGATTTATTTTTCATTTAAAATAGCTTCTGAATAGATTGTGAATAAATAAGTACTTAAAAAATCAGGACGAAGGACATAGTAACCCAGTTCCTTATGTTTTGTTAACTTTAAAAATAATTTTAGTGGTAACTTACAAATAAGTAAATAATACTAAATAAAAAATATTTAGAAATTAAATAAATTAATTTTAAATTAGAGTTTAATAAAAAAAGCAGAATTTATGTACATATAACCTTTATGAAATGACAATAACCGGAAGTAAGCC